ACGCACATACACAAAGTAAGGAGCAGTGAGAGAAAGTGGCCACCGGTTTTCGGTCCCTCTTCTTGCAACGGAAACACGGCGGACCCGCCGGGGAGCCAGCGGTGTGCGTTGCACAGCTCATTCGGACACGAACTCTCTCCCGAGCAGCAGGTTTGCGACGGATCGTTTGCGATGAGATCGGCAGAGTGTTCGGTATCGCCGGCCTGGGCGGGCCAGGCTCGATTTTCTCGCGCGGTGATTGTGCAGTGTTGAACGAGAAAACAAGAACCGCGGTGGTGCTCGACATCAGGCCGTCGGAGTCTCGGGAGTCGTTAACCTCGAAGCGTCTCCGCACGTAGGCAACCCGAGTTCCCATTAAAATATCGCTCGGTACCAGTGAACCAACCAGCGGGATACAGAAGGAGAATATTCAAGGAAACCGGAGGATTTAGTCGTCGATGAGATATTAATGGTCCAGTGGAGTACATAGTTTCGCGGACAAAGTGACAAGTATTATTCGTTGGAGCCGTGGACACTTGATCCCGGTTCGAGGACGAAGGAAAGGTCGAGTCGGTTAACCGAGTGTCTTTATTTGGCCGGGGGAACGAGTTTCCAGCAAGGGCTCGACCTAGCAGAAAATAAAGAAACAAAACGGTCGAGCAAAAAGTACGAAGGAGGCTCGGTTGGCCGGTTTCGCGCGATTCCCTCGGGTCAACGATCTGCTCGTGTATCTCGAAGCGGTTCGTTCCTCGGTACGTACCTCCGCGGACAAGTACGGTCGATACACGATACACGCTGGCCTGTTCGTATACCGATAGCGGGCAAGCCAGCCAGTAAGCCAGCCAGTAAGCCAGCCAGTAAGCCAGCCAGTAAGCCAACCAGCCAGCAGGCAAGCGAGCGAGCACGTTTCACGAGGAGTGAAAAGGCGGTCACTCGGTACACCGCCGTGGCTGCTTTCACCGGCAATGGAATAATGCCGATCGGGCCTTAACGGTACGCTACTCGTACCTTCCGTGTTTCCCTTCGCGCGAACGCCGGTGAAAATGATCGCAGGCCTCGGCTAAGATCGCGTTCGGGTGGCCAGTGATCGCGGGTTCCAGTTTTTCCGGTGATTCTCTTCCAGCACAGTGCGCGTTCGTTCGGTTGTTACACTACATCGCGACGATACACGGCGCGGCCGGCCGCGCGCGCGCGCGCAACGCAGAGAAACGCTGGCGATTCGTTCGGGCCCGGGGGTTGCCGTAGCATGGAAACCAAGATGTACATCAGCAACAACGATGCCCACAACAATGGTCACACGGGCACCAAGTACGCGTCCACGAACTCGATACCTTCGATGATGGAGGACGAGTCGTCGTTCGCGAAATTGATCGGTGCACGCCGGGACTCGAGCGCTATCTTGCGTGACAATAAGGGAAGGAGGCACAGCGTGCTCGAGGACTTGAAGGCGCGAAGGGACAGCCTCTTCCAGAGGGCACGCCGCGGCAGTGTCGTCGAGGAGAAGGAGAACGCGAAACTGGTGCAGAAGGAGAAGCGTCGCAGCAGCGACGGCGGCAGGCGCGGCTCGGTTTTCTACGTGTCGCAGGATCTGCTCGAGGAGAACCAGGAGGTGCTCGAAGATGAGCGGATGCAGGAGCTCGAGGGCAAGAAGGGCCGCCGAAAGTCCTGGCATCCGCTCGCGAAACCGCCGAAACTCGACCGCAAGAGGAGGAAAGGTATCGCCGGCGTGCCGACGCAGGTCGGCAGCACGGATGGACTCTACGCGCAGGCTAGACAGAAGAGACCCTCATGGTGGAATATATTCGTACCTGACTCCGTTGCCAGGTATTTATTCCTTCAGTCCGTACACCGCGTGTTCAGTGTGTCGCGGGAAATTCGAACCAGCGAATTTCAACGGTTTCGCCAGCCGGGCTCGCGTCCCGGGTCACGTGCTGTGTTGCCTCGCGTACCGGCCAATGGGATGGCCCGTTGGAAATGCGACATTGGGCGGAAAAAAGGTTCGCGAGTTTCGTCTCGCATCCGTGTCCGACTGGTTTTCGTAGTTTTCCTTGCCGCGAGTGAGACGACGGTTTTGTTTACGTGCTGGCGAACCCGACAAAGAGGATAACGCGAAGCGGATGCGGTATATCTGTGTCGTGGCCTTTTTTCCTTCGCCTTTTACGCGTGTTCTTTGTTCAGTCGTTGAGCTCGGTGAAACGTTGTCCCTTCTACCGACGAGGAATGCCCGATCGTACGAATCGGCACGAATTCGCGTGGTATCGCGAATGCACTCGTGTGTTCGTTCACTGAATATGGGAACAGACGAGTCAGGCTTCGGTCCGTGAATATTTGAAACTTCAGAAAAATCATTTTCATCGGGTACACCGCGGTAGCAACTCGAACCGCCTTTTTAGCAGTGCTGCCAACGTGACTCCTAGTCCCGAGCTCGGCACGTCGCGTTCTTGTACTTTATCAACGAAAACAAGCGTCTATTATTGCCCGCTCCGTTATATCACGCAACGTCTGTGTGATTATCGCAGGGACTCGTATTAAAGAGAAAAATGTCGCAAGGCAGGTGCACACACGGTAAATATTTAGATGAGTCGTCGAGGCTGAAGTCGTAATCTAGAGTAACCGTGACAGTTTTCAAACAGTCCCGACCGTTGTCCAAGATAACTGGACCGCGGATCTTCGCGAGGAATTTTCACCGTTAACATCCAGCCGCTCAAAATTTAAAATTCATTCGCCTATCCGCGATTCGTACGTTGAATGTTTACAAGATGTTTTCTACCCGGCCAGAGATAGGTGATTGTTTTCCGCGCGCATTTGTGTATCATGCAAATACGTAATCCATGGTCTAGTGATATCGAAACTGCCAGCAGCACGGAACGAGTGCTTTTACCAGCCGAATACTTTCGGGTTATTTATGTTACGCAGTCAGGTGAATAGTTTACTTACGATAAAAAGGAAAAACGAAGCGTCACGTGCGCGCCGTGTCTTTACGCGTCCGCTCGAACTCGGTGATGTCATATCAGATAAACGAAGCCCCCTCGTCCACCCCGGCTTCTTCTATGCCGTGCTCGAGGTAAGATTCCAAATATTTTCTCTTTGAAAAGTAAAAGCACTTTCCTCGCGTTATCGGCGGATCTCTCCCCGGCACGAACACAGCCGATTACCGGAAGCTGTGGCTTCCCTTGATTTACGGCGCGTTATCGGTCTCTCCCGGCTCCTCGACGACGGCCGGAATTTTTCTGGAGATTCTTAGACCGATCCACGCGATTTCTCTGAATATCTTACGGTCGTGGAAGCTGCGCTATCGCGATCGAAATTCCGTTTAAACCGTGCGGCGCTGACGATGCACCCAAATATTCAAACATTAATATTCCTCTTACGAACAATGGCGAAATCTTGCTGCTTTAGGACGTATATATTCGTCCTAACTAAGAAGTTTTATACATGTCAATACAACGCCTATAAACGATACTTTAATTGTACGAAACCTTGCAGAGTTGTAATTAATTCCGTAGATTTCAGTGACGTATATATACGTCACGATAATTTCCTCGATAATGGACGAGTACACGTGCACTGATCCTTGGGCAGAAGGAACGTAATTTTAGCGTATTAATGATCGATTTACCAGTGACGTATATATACGTCCAAGGTGTATACCTTCGGTTATCGAGCTATGAATCTCCAGGTGTCTGTTACGTTTTATTATAGACGAACAGAGATATCAATGTGTCGACGGTTTATCCATTAATTCGACGGTTGGATGCCCGATCGGAGGATTATCGTTTCTCAGAACGACTGTCAATATTGACGTCCGATGGTTACTGGTATCACCTGATACCGATGTTTCGAAGCGTTTAATTACCATAACAGAAGTAACCTTCGCCGGTTGATTACTCAGCGGTTTCGCTTCAAAGTAAGCGCGTTCTCTTCTCCCCCACCTTCCAGTCCTCCCATTGTCTTCGCTTTCAGCTGTTTTGACAACAACAGAAAAATCGAGTCATCCCCGAATTTCGTAACAGATCGCGTCGATTCCCGGGGTATAATCGTTGCGCACGGGTGATCGGAAAGTTGCAACGCGACTCGTTAAAAATGCACGCGCCGTGCACGTGTATCACTTGAAAATCTCTGATCGATTGGACAACCGCATTCCTCGCTTAACGCGTTGATTAAGTAATCGCTGACCGTGCGAAAATCGTATTCCGAGGGACTCTCGCTTTCCTCGTAATTAGATCCCATGTTTCGCGCGCCGATAGGGAACTCGAACAACCGGAGCATAATGCAATTAAAGCCTGGACGATATCTTGACCCAGAAAGTCGATCTCCGGGTTAATCCGTAAATCCCTGTGTTCGGCGTGAATACGTTAACGGAGTATCCGTTGATCCGCTCGTCGACGGAGAACTTTGCGCGTTCCGCTGAAAAACAATCTGGAATTCTCCCATCCACCCGGCAAATGAACCGATAGATTAACGTAATTAGGGGATAGAGTCGTCGAGCGAGATGCCAGCCACTCGTTCGTCGATTTCTCGATCGTCGTTGATCCGGCGAACTGGACCCGGGGAAAAGGAAAACGGAGAACGGGAGTCGAAGTGATCCAATTAGAGCGCACGAACCTTCATCCTTTGTACACCGAGAAGGGAGCGCTGTTAGACGCGACTCAAAGAATTCGGAGCCGCCTCTTTTTGTCTCGGAGGAACGTATTGTTCACCGAAAAAAAAGACACCTCCGGCTCGGCGGCCAGGTTCTCCAGAGCCTCTTTCGGTTTTTTCGTTCCGCTGACGAAGGAAAATTTAGCCGAGGAAATTGGGTCGATCCAGGGACGCGCGTCCGCGACCTTTCGCTGCGACGTCGGGGACTCGTTGCATTTTTATCACCCGACGATGTCCTTTTTCTCTGCGTTCATCCGGTTCGATCTCGCGCCGTTAACCCTTTGCACTCGAAAGTTCTTCGCTAGAAATGTTCAACGTTCCTCGACGAGACGTGGACAGAAGTCTTTGAAACTAATCAGAAGACACGAGAAATAAGGAACTAATCCATTTCGTTCCAATATTTCGCATATTAATGCGTTACACATAGTAAAGGTTATGATCCTTGATGAAGAAACATTTGAAATGCAGTATGCAATTATCGATTTCGAGTGATTAGCAATCGGTAATCTGTTAATATTACGCTGCTTCGACACGAAAGGAATCGGAACGATATTACGAGATTCCTTTATAACTTACGAAGTTTTGCGAATGAAAACGTGCGCTTCTACACGACGTAGTAGTCAGTGATTGCCTCCATCAAGAGCGGCAGATAAAGCGTTACGACCGATCGCGAGAAAAAATCTAAAAGGAATTCATCGAAATCTCCCGTGACACCCGAGAACCGGTCGGCCGTCTTAAAATAGCCATCTGTATCAGGTATTTGCTTTTTTCTCGTCTAACTTTTACTCCGCCTCTGCGATCCTGCGGAATCCGTCGATTTCGTCTTACGTCAACCTAGGTTCGACGCTTCCCTGAGTATTACATTCGCCGATTTCCACGGGGAACGCGAGAGAAACGCATTTCCCGACTTGTTTTGCAATGATTCCTACTCTGTTTAAATTTCCCGCCCTTGTCCCGTAAAAATGGCGCGCCGAGGAAGCCGTATTCTCGGTTACTCTCGCCGACCCGTCGAAATTTGTCAAGTTTAAGCCCTGTCCTGTGACCTCTTTCGCCACTGTGCTCGATAAAACGAATTATATTTCGTTTCTGTCGAAGTAAACAACATTTCGGTCTTTCGAATTCAGCTGAAAATTTTCATCGCGAGTCTGACTCGATATTGCAGGAGGAGGGGTTAAAGGTGCAGATACACTGGCAACTAATATGCGCCGTTTTTGCGGCGATTCGCAATAGCAATAAAATCAAACGAAACATTTACTTCTGCAAGTCACTACCAGAAAAACTGTGACAAGTTACTTGGCCGCGTATCTGCATTTCCACTGCCATTAAGATCGCTAAACGATTCCGTCCTATTTCTGTGAACACTGTTATCGGTTTATCAAGACACGTAATTTCACTTCATTGTAAAAAATTAATTTTTTTACGCGACTTCGCGTTAAAAACCGATTAGATAAACACAGTGCAGACGGATTGGATTCTTAAGACAATATCCTATACAAACTCGTGTCCTTGATACGATCGTTTCAGCGAATTCTGAGTAACACTAAAAATCGACGAAATCCGATTGCACAGTTCGTTGCAATAGGTTGGCCAAATTCTCGTTGCGTCGGCGAATGTTTAAGATGAAGTTTCACAATTAAATTAACCCATAGGTCCGTGTCACTGAAATCACGCACACATGTCTCGCAACCTTGTTAGTTTCTTTCATTTTGCATAGCAAAGTGGCGAATGAAATCAAGTAATTAACAACTTAAACCTTCGAATAAATTGTTAATTTGTATCTACAAGTTAATATTCGTTAATTCTACACTATACACATTTCGATATAATTACGAAGAAAACTTCGGCCCATAGAGGGTTAAGCTAGACCAACTTCATTGAACTCGTCGCGTTTTATTCGCAAGCTTCCCATTGCCTCTCGGTTCGCTCATTTGCAATGTTTACCCGTGCATTATTAAACGGACGCCAAAATTCGAAGTAAACCAAGAGATTCTGGCTAAGCCAATACATGCCGGAAGATCGTAAATAGCCGCGATGAAACCGAATGGAAACGAATGTTTCCTATTAAATGTTGAAAGCGGCGAGACTGATGCTTCGCCCGCTTCGACGTACGATCCCCGAGCTGCTATTGTTATTATTTATAAACAATGTTCGCGAATAGAATGTTCTTGGAACGACAGCCGGCG